GTTTATCATTTATCAAACTATAAAATAGTTATTAATAGCCACGAAGCGTCACGGTCAGACGTAACAATAGCTGTTGGTCTATTATAGGCTATACTCTGAATATCCATGGTAATAATATTAGTATATTAGCCATGGTCTAATCTTATCTATAAATTGTACAAGTGAAATTATCATACACCTATCTGAATTTCATAGAAAAATGTTGTTTGTCTTTTAAATATTCATTCTATTGATTCTTAATTTGTTTATTCTTAAACTGTTATTTTGATATTTTCAATATATTTAAAAAATTAACATGAAAGGTCTTCGAACAATAATTTGTTAAACTACTTTAAAAAAACAAATTTTACCTATTATTGAAGCCTCGAGGAAGAGGTATGACATTATTATATAATAATTCAAAAAACATGACAACTTGCCCAAGTCTTAAATTTTTCAAATACCTATGTATTTTGTTTTATAGCAAACATGATTCTGAGCCAGTTCACAATTTGGTCTGTTCAGTTGATTTGAATACTATAAATCAACAGGTAAGAAAAATGTTTGTGTACCTATTCATTATTTTTCATTAGGTACTTATACATTATATAGGACATATTATGTATGTATTTTAGTATTTATATAAATTGTATAAGAACACATTCAATATTTACTATTGTTCTTGCATCAATAATTAATCTACTACCTACCTTGGGCCCAGGGGCGGATCCAGAGTCGGAGAACTGTGGGTCAAGCCATTTCAAGAGGCCATTTATTAGGAATGAAACTGAATTAGAAATGAATAGGTATCTTGTAAAAAAAAAAAAAAACACAATATGCTCGTAAAAGTGTATATGTATATTTATATTACATTTTAGAATTAGTGATACCACCGATAGTGACTTATTTACGATTAATAAATATAATCTAATTTTATCAGCGCAGCAAATGTACGGAATAAAATATGATTTATTTAACTTTCTACTAAAACGATATAACTGGAAATATAAATTATGAATTGAAAAATTTTCAATTTTGAATATACATGGCATTCATTTTTCAAGTAACTCCGATGGGCCAACTGTCCAAGAGTCCAAATCAATGTCTAAAAAAAGATAAAAATTTCCAAGCAGCCAATTTTGTCAACAAATATTAATTTTGGTCAACTGACTCCCTGAACCCCCACCCTAGATCCACCCCAGTTTGGGCCTATAACTATTTAAATTTAAAGATACTTTAATTGTACTTATAATTGTTGGTGATTAGTTATGGTCTTTCGTGTGGTCATTCTGTATAAGGTATTATTTTATTTTATAATTTGAGCTATGATATTTCTTTTAAATTATATTTTCTACTCAAACTTTTTTGTAATATGCTTATAATCAGTGGTGTATTGGAGGGTATATGCGGGTATACGCCGTATACCCGGATCCCTGTTTTTGGATTATGCGTATACCTTTAAGAAAATTCGTCTATCATGGGTATACGCTAACTAATCATTTGTACATAACGGGTATATGCTGGGGCCGATTGGCAATTATTTTCGACCCAGGAAATATGAAAAAAACCAGCCCATGAACCGTAAATTAAACTATTTTACCCCTCCCCCTCCCAAAAAATGCTTTATTTTGCATCAATTTCAAAATTTTTTTAGTTTCACCCCTAAATTAGTAAAATCTACAGTAACTTTACTATAATTATAGCTATAATAGTTTTGGATAAGTCACATGATTCATCAGTTCCAACTTGAACTTGAAGTTTGATGTTAATGCATCTTTAAATATATATATATTTTTTTTAATGATTTTTATTTATTTTATAAAACTTTTTTTTGGTAAATATATACCTAATAATATAGAGCGGCCCAAACAAGGACCAAACCATCGGGAAGATTCCCGATTTCTCGATAGGCCAATCCAACATTGGGTATATGCAAGCTTCTAATTTTTCATCACCATAAGGCATACATTATACAACAACAGTATAGAATTTATTATTATTATTATATACTATAGCCACTGTCCAAAAATAGCCTCGCGCCCCCATAAACTTCGATTAAATTTTCCCCGACTTCGGATATTCTGCTAAGACGGTCGGAAACTGCCAAGCGTCTACATACATCAGAATTTAATACCGGTGGACGCGTGCGATATTGTAATTTCGAGGAGATATTATAATTGTTAAAAATAGATCAACAGTCAAAAAGTTTTGTTTCTAAATTTATCACAATATTAACTGATCTGTTTACGATGTTTTTGGATAGATTTTGATAATTAATTATTTTATTGTTGTCAGTTTGTCACTTAGTATTTATTCGTCGCAAGTTTGTGCAAATTATTTTACATTAATACTAAAATGTTATTACACATAACAAAAAATTAGGTTACATGAAAATAAATATTATGTTTCATATATGATATATACCTATAATTTAATTAAAGATAAGTTTAAAGTGTAGACTTCCATAGCGTGGATCCAAGGGGACTAAGGGGGCGTGCGCCCACTTCAAATCCCCCAAAAATACTTTTGTTGAATTTTTATACACCCCCAACATCTTAGAAAAAAAGTCTGGTGGGGGTATATCCCACGTCCCCATCATATTATGTTATTTTGAGTTTAGATAGGTAGAACATTTTTTTAAGGGTTTTAGCCCCCCTACCACCAATAAAAGCTTATGTGCTAAGCGTATACCTTAGAAAAAAATTACGAATACCCCACTGCTTATAATATAAATATTAAAAAATACTAAATGTTGAACAGTATATTCATAAATATTTTCAGATATATACATATTAATTATTTAAATATTATATTAATGGGAATATGTAATTGTGAATTTGTGTATAAATTAATGTATTTGATTAATGTTTGTATTTAGTTACTGTTACCTGATACACTTTTGGGAATGCAAATTTTTAAAAATGATATTGCCAAATATATTCAGAAGAATTGTGAAAAAAATGTAGAGAATTTTGTATGTCAAGATATTTTAAAAAATACATGGACACCAGATAGTAATTATGATTTTCCAATAAAATTATTTGGAAATAAAAGAAGGAAATTTAATTTATCTCGGTTACAATGGAATTAATTGACTTATTCAGATTTAGATAAAGGAGTATTCTGCAAGTATTGTGTGTTATTCTACAAAAGAGAAGGATCTGATAAAAGTATGCATTCACCCCAAAATCATTTGTTCGTCAACCGTTTATGAATTGGAAAGATACCATCGAGTACTTTAAAATACATGAAAATAATGAATATCCTAAGTTTTCTACAACTAAAGTTGCTGAGTTCTTAAAAATAGTTAATAAAAAACAAAATGACGTATATGTCCAATTACATAAAAGAAATGAGAGTGAAATAAAAATAAACAGAGAAATTATGAAAGTTATAATAAAAACAGTAATTCATTATGAGTGTCAATGACTAGCTCTTAGAGATGGTCATGATTTAGGTACTTTAGGTCTAAATTTGCCGTTACATAACGACGGTAATTTCAGAGCTCTATTACGTTATTATATTGATTGTGGTGATGATTTATTTTTAATTCATATTAAAAATTGTGATAAAAATTCAATTTATATTAGTGCAGATATACAAAATGAATTAATTTCAATTATATGTCATAAAATTCAGACCAACATTTCTAACAGAATAAAAAAAATCCAAATTTTTTATCATATTAGCTGATGAAACTACTGATGTTAGTAGTGTTGAACGGTTTTCTCTTTATATATGATACCTTGATGCTGATGTTATTAAAATAAGAGAGGATTTTTTTACAATTTCTACCAGTACATAGTACTACTGGAGAAGAGCTGTCTAAGACAATCATAAATACTTTGAGTGCTTTAGGATTCAATTTATGGCAAATGAGAAGCCAAGGATATGATGGTGCAGCCAATATGGGTGAAGTATTTAGAGGAGTTCAGGCACTTATATTAAAAGAATATCCCAAAGCTATATACACACTGTTTTTCACATTGCTTAAATTTATGTCTTAATGATGCATCTCAAGTTCAACAAATCAGAAATACCTTAAATATTATTCAAGATGTAAGTTCTTTTTTTCAAATGTCAGCCAAAAGATCATATATATTGAAAAAAAAATTAGAATGCAAAAAATTTTCTGGGTTAAAAAAATACTGTGAAACCAGATGGGTTGAAAGACATGAGGCTCTTGCAATATTTGTTGATGGTTTTTTAGAAATTGTTTCTGCATTAGAAGATCTAATGACTTTAGAAAATTACAAAAAACTATTATTTTACATAAGTCATTTGTAATTTTCAATTTTTGATGGCATGCTCTATAATGGAGAGAGTACTTGATATAACATACACAATTTCCAAATATCTACAAATGAAAAACATAGATATTGTAACTGCTACAACTTCAATAGAAACAACTGCTACAAAATTACAAAATTTAAGAATTGAAGTAGAGTTTCAAGAAATCTATGACACTGCTATAAAAATAGCTGAACAGGTTGGTGTATCTCCTATTATCCCAAAAACAGTGGGAACTAAAAAACATCGGGAAAATTATGCTGTTAATAATAGTGACTATTGCTCATATTATAGGGTATCAATTGTTTATCCGTACATAGATGATTAGCTCTCATTTTTTAATGAAAGATTCAAGTCAAATTAAAATTTAATTACTTCATTTTCTTGTCTGTTATCCTCTAAAATAATAAATAGCACATTTCAAGATGTTAAACCAGCTATAGAGTTTTATAAGGATGACTTAAGTATAGATTCCTATAATTCAATCCTAAAAGGAGAGTTTGAATTAATACAAATTAAGTGGAAAACAGAAACCATTATGCCAAATAATTCTCTCGATAAATTATTAAATTGTCCAGAAGATATTTTTCCGAATATATATACATTGTTAAAAAGGTTTTCAATATTGCCAATTACGACAGCTTCGGTCGAAAAAAGTTTTTCTACTCTTAAACGTATCAAAACCTACCTAAGAAATGCAACTAGTAAAGATAGACTGAATGGTCTAGCATTAATAAATATACATCGGGATATAGATTTAGATACAGAGTCAATATTAGATGTTTTTGCCAATAGAAAAGAAAGACGTTTGAATTTTAAACTGTAAGTACTCCTAATATAATTTTAGAAAATTTATGTTTAAACTGCCTACTTCAAGTCGTAATTTTTTTTTTTTACTAGTTCGTTCTTCAGTTTAATGATCAAATAATATTCTGTTATTTTTAATATTTAAATTTTGTTTTAATACATTATAAAAAACAGACATTTTTATTATTTAAATTTATTTATTTACTTCATTATATAATCTCCTTTATTTTTAGCTATCCAACTTGTGTACGCTATGGCTTGTAATACTATTTGAATGAAAAATGAATTGTTATGTAAACAAATTAATATAATATTATTAATCCAAGGTTTATAATCATGTTAAATGTACCATAAGTTGCTAAAAATGCTAACATAGTTGTACAGTGATAGAAAAAAGTACGTATATGTTTATTGTTTTTATATCAAGTACTTAATAGGTAATAAGTAGATATTTTAGTATTACAAAAACTAAAGGTAAAAAAGGTAAATGTGTGCAAATAAGTTGTAGCCTACAATATTGAATTAATATTAAAATATCCGGTCAAGATAACAGATTTAAATGTTAAATTTAAAGTTAACAGATTTAAATGAAATGACCGAATTATGATAGTGGTGATCTAACCGATTCAGTCGACCAGTTAATAATAAAATCGGCCCAACCGAACAGTACTACATACAACATAATAAACAACAAAGTTTTAAAGACCTTTATAACATAATCAGAGATAATAGTATTTATATTAAAAATATTATTCAAATATTTATTTTAACCAAGTTTCAAAAACGAATTAGAAATGCAAATATTTAAATGCTAAATAGGATATTTTAACCAGCTGATAACAGAGAAAAAAAATTGATAGTGTTTATTATTTTTGTTCTTTAATTTATGTTATACAGATTATTACGAGTAGTTATGTTGAGTACCTTTTGTAATTCACAATTCTACGTTTAGAGAATATTACAAAAAATGAAAGTAACAAGAAAATGATTTTCATATTGACAAAAGAAGATTTTATTAATTACATTTAATATTTTATTTTATCATAATTATTATTATTATATTAATATTAAAATTTATCTTAAAATGTTATTAAAATTATTTTAGATTTTGTACATCAATTATGTATTATTATTATTACTAGCTGTGTTTCCATATATATATATATATATATATATATATACAGTGAAACCTCGGTATCTTGAAGTCGCAAATATCGAAACTTTGAGTTACCGAGGGAATTTAGAATTTAAAAAAAATTTGAAATAAAAATGTTTAATAATGGAGAAAAATGTGTATTTATTATATATTCATATTATTAGTATTTGTCATTTGGGTAAATATACATTATTTTCTATGAAAGTAGAAAATCTGTAATTTATGTTTGTTTTTGTTTAGTATTATAAGTGTTTTCAATAAAACTACCTGATCTATTACGTGTATATGCATATTACGTGTAGAAAAAATATCAGAAACTCCTGATTGTTTTTGGACGTATCTTCAAGTTCATGAGTATAAATCCGTGTAACTTTAATGCCGTTATCGGTCACTTGCTGAAATATAACTAAATATCAGCGTTATTACAACGTTGTGTGTACAAGTTCTGTTATTTACTATTTATACATATTGTATTATAAATATTGATATTTGATACAATTGTTTAGTACAACATTTAGGTCAAATATATATATATATATATATATATGTATAATATACATATTGCTTCTGGACGACGATTATAATATTGAACTATTGAACAAAGTGGGCCAATACGGAGACATAATATACTAACTTTATATAATTTACTAGCAAAACTAAACGGCTTCGTTCATATGTAGTTTTTGCTTTCTCTAAGTTAAATTCTAAATTGTTTTAATTTACTTAGTTTGATCATGTGCTAAATAGTAGTAGTAGCTGAATTATGAATAAAAATAATAATAATAGTAATAATAATATTTACAAATAATTCTAATGAATCTATAGTTAGAAAATATTAGGTAGTTAGTTTATAATTATAATTTAACTTTATTTATGAATATATACAAATGAATTTATACTGATCTACTCAGTTTTAAAATGACTTAAGTCAAAATCTGTTGGTATATCACATTCAGAGTTTTATTTTTTGGCGTATAAACGTATAAATGGGCAGGTCTTTTAACTCTAGAAAATGATACCTACAATTGTCCATTTAAAAAACTGTAATTTTCCATATCTACACCACAATAAGTTGATAATAAATTAAGTATCCTTGTGCTTTGTTTATTATCATTATAAAACAAAATTGTACAGGAACTTTTCTAAACTAAACTGGAAAATCGTTAATATAATCGAGGTAAAATAATAATTTCAGTAAAAATATTTTTCTCTCCAAGTTAAATTATTTAAATGATACGCTAAAAACCCGTAACCTTTAAATACAATCCCTTCTCTCCCTTCAATCCAACAAAAAAATGTAAAATCGGGTGACGTGATGACCAAGGACCAGAACCGTAACCGAAAAAAACTGATACTGGAACCGTAACCTTAATTATAAAAAGGTTAATTTAGGACAGTTATTTAGACTAGTAAAACTATGGTAATAACTATATTGTTTGTCTATTTGTTGGTTCAGAAAAATAAAAGTCAAATCTTTTTATGTTTTTATTATTTTGTGTTGTAAACTGTAGTAGGTATATATATATTATATGTATATAATAAGTAAATTTGTAATATTATAATTATTATTATTTTTGTATTTTGTGATAACTTATTAAGGAATAAAAATAACATTTATTTCTGTAGGATAAATTAAATTAAAATTTTTTTCTATCTTGTAACAATTTATTAGTTGTTACATATTAGACTACGATGATTCTTAATTATTTTATTGATGCGAGTAAAAATTAATTTATCTAGATAAATTCGTTTAGATAACACTTTTATTTAGCTATTTAGCTAAGATAATAGATAATAATTCATTATTTATCTAGACAATATACAACATTGCTGACCGAGTCTAACGACAATTAAAATAAATTAAATTGAGAGTTGTAGTTTCATTACATGAATTCTTACTATAAAGGAAATTTTAGTAGCTTACATTTAATATATTTTACAACAATTCTACTTTACAAGAAAATAAGGTAGTTTTAAAGAAATACCTGTGAATATAAGTTCTAACTTTAGCAGAACATTGTTTGTGAGTTATGAAATGTTTAACTCATTTACCTGTTTACTTTAAAAAAAAGATTGTAATTATGGTTCACAACAATCTTAGTAATGTATGATTAACCTATACTCGTATTTACTAAAAATACAGTATGTTTAATATAATTTACGAGTAGATTATTTTAAATTAAATTAAACTATTATTGTTATTATTTTCGAAAATAAAAACTGGAATGTTAATAGAGAAATAAGAACTGGATACTACAAGTACCACAAATTATAGGTAAATCTAAAAATGTTGAAGTTATATAGATGTCGTAATATTCTATTATATTTTGGATTTTTGCATTTACTCCGTAGAGAAATTAAAAATTAAATTCTTAAATTCCTACTACTTGTATTCATTATTGTTCTATAAATGTTTTTTTGATAAATCATGTTAGATCATATCTATACTTAATAAATTAGCATTTTCTCTCATAACGAGTTGAATCTATAAAATCATGTTTTACTGCTATAGGTAGTATTGTGTTACTTTAGTGAATTTTTATTGTACGAGTATGAGTTTACTTCAATGCGAACTGTAAATACTTTATAACGCTAAATCACGTAATTATTAAAACAAATATTTTTTTTATTATATAAAAAAAAAAATAAAAAAATATATAAAATATAATATTGAATGTAATTTTTTTCATTATTAAATAATGAAACAAATTTTGTTAAGTCTCATTACTAGGACACGATATTATAGTAGTAAAATTGATTGCAGTATTATACTAAAATAAACCGAAAATAGCACTTTAAAAAATCTAAAATTGCACTAAAAAAATATCGTTTCGTTATAATTCATAAAATTACATTTATATTATCTGTCATTAACTTATTGTAATTTATATATTACTTGTATATCACTGACTCATTATTTACAATGTATAAATATTTATACATGAAATATAAAAAATACATAGTTAAAAATGTTGTTGCATTGAACTGTAAGTATTTTTTTAAATTTTCAAAATCCAATGTTCTTCGGTTTGGAGCCAGTAAGTTTTTATACTTCGAAAAATAACGTTCAATGTTGTTTGATGTGAGCGAAGCGTATTTAAAATAAATTAAATCGCTTATCGTCAATTCTTCGGGTAAACCATCTAACAGTTTTCATTCTCCAGTCAGTAAATAATTTATTATTCATATGGTTTTAAATACGGTATTTTTTTAAATAACTTTAATGAACTTTTTTGTGTTAAATATACTATAATCTTATCTGTACGCATTGTAAATACGATGAATCCAATAATCAAAGTACGACGAAATCGATAAGATTTTAAAAATAATCAAACTATCATTTTTACTATACCATACATACAATAATATCAATAGACAATAAGATATATAAACAACCATCATGTAATTTAGGCTTAAAACAATTTGATAATTTTATTTCATGAAACTTTTATAAAATTGTTTAAAAAGTATTAAAAAAAGTAAATTTTGTGAAAAAATTAGTTAAAATTGTTTTTATAAATGAGTAAAATCAAAAAAATTGAAAAAATATCAAAAATTGAGAACAATTGCATTTTAAATTATTGTATTTTCATTTGTACCTACACAAAACGCATTTAAAACTTACTTAGTAATAAATTGAAGCAATAGAAGGAAAGTTGCAAATGCAACATCATTACGTTTCATGTTTTCATAATGTATTTTGTAATAAAAAAATCACAAAATATTTATTTATTCTTCATTTTTCATTATATGTCAATACTACAGTTTATTACATTTTTTTTTCTCAGAACAATGTACACCATTTAATTGCAAACGTACTGGGGATACAACGTGCTTTAATAGTACTGAATGTTGTTCCAATTACTGTTATAAAGATCCGTCATGGATCAGTGGACAGTGTAGGGAACGTGGAAGATCAGTAACAAGTAAATTTCACCGATATCTAATATAGATGAGAATTAGTTTGGCTGGCTGAATAAAATTAATCGAATATTATAACCATAATATTATGTAAAAATAATAATTATACTTTTATCATTTTGGTGTAATTAGGTGATCAAATTTCCCAATGTTCTTTTAAAAATGCTTTGGCCAATACAGAATACACAATCTATGGTAAATATGATTGGGTTGCGATTCACAAAACATTACCAATAAACACATTGGTTCGAGTGTTTCTAAAAAATGGAAAAAACGTGGTGGTCAGGATCATTGACAACGGTCCCTATGGTAAGGTCCGTACGCTGGATTTAGCAAAAAGCGTGGCGGATGAGCTGAATGTCAGCACATCATCTATAGTACCGTGTGAAGTAACAATTCTTAATCAAATCGGCTGTTTGGACGATATGGAAGAATGTTTTACTTACAAAGAATGCTGTACACAAAATTGTAAAAAAGTTGATGATGCTGGATATTGCAACCCATTAGAAATCTATGAACGTATGGAAGAGTACAGCACCGAAGTGAACGACTAGGGAAGAATGAAACTAGAATCGAATGACTAGGATAGTTTCCGTTTAGAATACAATTAATATTATAGTATAAAAATTTTTAATTTTTTCATACCCAGTCTACAGAGCCGACCTGAAGTATTCTACTTCAGATTATTATACTTCTAAGTATAAATAGTTCAGTTTGTAATAAGTAATGACCATGTTAAGTAAAAAATAAAAGACCAAAATAAATGTATATATAGTTTTCTTGTGGTCTTAAAATCAACGAAACATAATTTGAAATATCCGTTTTAATTTGCTTAATACACTATATTATTATAGACCAGCATTTCCCAAAGTTTTTTTCTGACGGACCCCTTAGAGTTAATAAAAATGATTGCGGACCCCTAAATACAAATAAAAATTAAAAAACAATAATAATAATAAAAATTTGTATATTTTAAATTTACATTTGCGGACCCCCTCCGGTATACGTGCGGACCAGTTTGGGAAACGCTATTATAAACTATAGTAATAACCAGGGTTAGAATTTTGTAGCACTTAAATATAATATTTATAGCACTTGTATAAATATGCTCTATAATATTATCTTAAAAATCATTAAATAAGCTCTAAAACAGTTGTAATTTTCTATCTTTTTGCTTGTTGAATTCCATTAATAATACGAGGGTTATTCAGAAAGTGAGAAACGTTTTGTAATAAAACAAAAACTAGGTACAGGAAAATGTTTTTATTATATACTGAAAGAGTCACTAAAATGCTACTTTTCTACATAGTCACCAAACAAATTAAGGCATTTATCGTAGCGGTGGACAAGCTTCGAAATTCCTTCGTCATAGAAATCCGCCGCCTGCGATATCAGCCACTCAGTGACGCACGCCCGGAGCTCGTCGTCGTCATCAAAACGCTGTGTCGCTAGCCAGTTCTTCATCTTCGGGAACAAGTGAAAATCACTCGGTGCTAGGTCGGGACTGTAGGGGGATGTGGAAAAATCTCCTATTTGAACGAGTCAAGAAGTTCTAGGAGACTTTCCCACATCCACCCTACAGTCCCGACCTAGCACCGAGTGATTTTCACTTGTTGACATAATGTTCTGTTACAGCTATAATCAGTATTTATATGAAAAAATAAAAAAGTGTATTGAAGTATTAAACGAAATTATGAAATAAGGTAAAGTAATAATTGACAAATGACAATAGGATCTAATGAAATGGTGAATGTTATCGGTTCGATATGTTATACCTATTTATTGTTCGGTGTTGTCGTTAGACATCAATCAGATGCCATCGTATTTTCCAGTGCAAATTCTATACAATATTGCTAAAAATAATTTCTTATATTAAACAGTGCTTCTACTGCCGATGAAATTATTATCAAGCAATAAATTATATTATATATAACTACCACGGCTGTAGATAGTAAAAATCCTACTATCTACAATCATGCTAACTACCATATGTCATGACATTATTAACTTTTGTTGGGGGGGCAACAATCAGGTCTAGGGGAGGCAACGCCCCCTTTTGCCTCCCCCCCCGTGGCTACGGTCCTGTCACCCACATATATAATTCTATGCTAAGATTTTCCCACTTCTCTAAAATCTGGAAATTTTCAGTCATTATACTTATACACAAACCAAATAAACCTAAACACTTATCTTCGTCACACCGTCCTATAAGTTTACTTCCAGTCCTTGGTAAACTTTTCGAAAAGGCTCTCCTGAAAAGATTACGTCTCATCCTTTAAAACAACCATATCATACCGAATAATCAGTTTGGTTTTCGAAACAGGCACTCAACAATCCATCAAGTTCATCGTCTTATTGATGAAATCTCAACTGCTCTCGAAAATAAAGAATACTGTTCCGGACTTTTTTTAGATATTGCTCAAGTATTCGATAAAGTCTGGCACGAAGGCTTACTATACAAATTAAAACTTCTCATGCCAGCTCCCTACTATCTTATTATCAAATCTTACTTACAAAATCGTTCGTTTGTCGTACGACAGGGGAACGATATTTCATCTACTCACCCAATATATGCTAGAGTTCCACAGAGTAGTGATCTATCTCCTGATCTATATAATGTATTCACAGTAGACATCCCTCAATCTAGTAACACCCTTCTAGCAATATAGGCTAATGACATAGCTATTTTTTCTTCCAGTTCAAATCCTATCTTAGTTTCAGCTGAACTCCAGGATCATGCTAATAAAATTGAAGAATGGGCCAAAAAATGGAAAGTAAAAATTAATACGAAAAGTCTGTAAAAGTTACTTTCACGTTAAAACAATCTCCCTGTGAGTGCCTTCAATTAATTATGAACAATGCCCCCATCCAAGTCCAAACCAAAATCAAGTACTTAGGCATAACGCTTGATAAAAGACTAACTTGGAGCCCCCACCAAAAAGAAAATCATCGAACAACAGATTTCACCTCCTCTGACCACTCCTAAACTCTAAAATAACACTCCAAAACAAACTTATTATATATAAGTCAATCATAAGACCCGTCTGGTCTTTTGGAATAGCAATCTGGGGTCCAGCAAATCCCTCGAATATTAGGCCAATTCAGGCTTTTCAATCAATTGCGCTAAGGTTAGTAACCAAAATTGGAAAACAAACCCTACTACAGTATATCAGTACATAAACATTTATTTTATATATTTTAATTAATATATATACAGTAGCCGCCGCTTATTGGATTCATTTTGGGACCCGACAATTTGAGTCGATTAACCGAATGAGTCAATAAGGCGAATGACTCAAAAAAATTTTAAAAATCCTTAAATTTAAAACCGTATTTACTTAAAAATATGTATTGAGATTCAATATGTATGTATAAAAATAAAAATCTATACGCAATTAAAAATAAAATAATTAAATAAAATATGTACCTAATTAATAAAATAAATTAATTTTTTGATAAAGTGTATTGATGTAGTGTTAGAGGGTAAGAATACGAGGTTAATATGTTTAAATTTCACTGTAACCACATAAGCCGTGCAGTTATCGACTAGCAATAAAACGTCATGATGAAGTTCATTGTCCCACTTGATCAGCCATTCGGTGAAAATTTCTTTTATCATCCATGCATTACTGTTTGCAGTATAGTCTACCGGTAGATTTTTAACACCCTTGAAACACCGGGGATATTTACTTTTACCAATCACAAGCAGTTTTCTTTTTTCACCATCCATACTCGCATAACATAATATGGTTAGACGTTCTTTACTAGTTTTAGTTTCTCTAGTTTTTTCATTTTTGAACGCGTAAGTGTGCTCAGGTAATGCCCTGAAATAAAGTCCAGTTTCATCCGCATTGAACACACAAGACGGAGGATATTTGGCGATAAGTGATGGCCATTCTGAATGAATCCACAACCGTGCAGCTACATGGTTGGCTTCTCCCTGTTTTCCATGTGGCTTAACGAATGAAATGTTTTCGCGTTTCTTCCATCGGTGAAACCAACCTTCTGTTGCCACAAAATTATCTTTGCCTATTTTTTTCGCAAGATCTTCGGCTTTTTGGCGCAAAAGTGGTCCTGTAACTCGGACATCTTTTTGTCTGACTTTTGTGAACCATTGCTTTAAAGCTTCTTCAACTTCTTCTTCTTTACCGACCCTTTTTCTTTCACGGTTTGAATTCACATTTTCTAATGATGCGTTTTCGATTTCCTGTCGATTTTTCAGCATCCTACCTAGTAAACTTTGAGACACGTTCAACTTACATGCTGCTTGTCGCTGGCTCGTTTTCGGAAGCTCGTCATATTTTTTAAGAACATCTAATTTTTCTTCCACACTCAAATCACGTCGTTTGTTCATTGTAACACGATAAATAAAAACGTTTACACAGAATGTAAACGCAGACAACACACTGAACACAACGACGTCTATTCATACACTACCTGCCGTACTAATTGACATTGACGACTGCTTGGTTTATCGTGAAAAGTAATTTATTTTATCTCCGCGATAAAAGCAAAATATGTACCGGTACCGACTTATTTATAACACGTTTTTTCAATGTATGTACATATTTTCCTTGTTTATCTGATTTTAAAATGACCCTAATAACCGGTGTGTGAGTCGAATAGACGAATTTTTTGCTGTGTGTTAGTATATGTGCAAATCAGGACCAGCCGTTTTGAGTCTAATAGACGAATGAGTCAATTAACCGTGAGTCCAATAAGCGGCGGCTACTGTATAATAGTTAAAACTAAATATAGTAAGTATAGTGATTTGGTTTTGTGTATTTAAATAAGTCATTTTATTTATTGTATACTCATTGATTACGAGTATAATATAATCAATATATATTATATACATTATATAAATAATCAATAGTGCAATTTTAAATTAATATTCTCAATTCTGTAATGAAATTTAATTTTGATTAAATGCCAAAATGAAAATAATATTGTAATAATGAAGTGGAAGGACAAACGCGATGTACTTATGTTGTCAACAAAATACAAAGACAATTTAATAGAAACAACTAACAAACGTGGTCAAAAATTATTCAAACCAAAAATGATAATGGATTATAATAAGGCAAAAGGTTTTGTCGATATTTCTGATTTGAGAAGTTCTTACCATTCACCACTTCGTCGATCTTTAAAATGGTATCGAAAAGTAGCATTCGAAATTCTACTAAATACAAGTTTATTAAATGCATTGACATTGTTTAATACTGTGACTGGTAATAAAATGGGTGTGGTAGAATTTAGAGAAAATATAATTCAAGTTTTACTAATGAAAGCCAATATACCAATGATACCCAAATCAACTGGAGGAGAAATTCATAAAATTGTTAATTCTAAACGTGGTAGATGTTCAAATTGTTATTTCGAAATGGTACAACAAGGGGGAAGGGAACACGCACAAAAAGTTACACGCAAAGTGTCAACGAAGTGTCCAGGCTGTTCTAAATATCTCTGTTTGGAATGTTTTTTCAAATTGCATTCAACAAAAAAAATATAATTTATAATTAAATATATAAAAATAATAATATTACGAGTTGTATAAATTTTTTTTAAATATATTTATGTTTGATTTATTAATATTTTAACTAAAAAAGCTTAAAGTGTATACTGTATAATATTAATACGAGTTGTATAATTTTTTTTTTTTTGGTAATTACATTTTTATTTTAAAAAACATTAAATTTGAGCGCTGTTTGCTGTATTCAGTTTGAAATTTTCTCCTCTTTCTACTCCATTAAACGAATTGAGCATCAGAAACGGTTCTCAGTGACATAATCACCAAAAATAGTGAGTACCCAAATTGACCCTCAAACTCTGAGAGTCAAATGGTGTGAGTACCAGAATTGGTACTCAAAGCCTGTAGAACAAAACGTGTGTAAAATGTGTGGCACAGGAGATAAACCACGTGAGTACCAAATATGGTCCTCGTGGCAGTCAACTTGTTAATAATTTAGTGTGTTCAACCATTTTATATAGTGTTAAGTAATATTGTTTTGCCAACCGAAAACATGGCGGACGTAAGATAATCTTGCCCCCCCGGGCTTCACTTCTCTCAATGGAAAACATCGGTAGTTATCTAGTATAATATAGATATCTGTGCTTACAATTTAGATTTCTTGATATCATCATAACATTCTTCACACTTTGTGTAGCTATATTTTTATTATAGTTCACATAAGGTATATTATCTTAGTCCGTGACTCTAAATACGGGTTTAATACGGGTTGCGAAACGGCTTATACTTAACAACACGATAGCCGGTCACCCAGATCTGAGTATTAAAAACAATTATTTTCACCGAAAAAAAATAATTTCTTATATATAAATATAAAAATGATAATAAGTATATCATTTTAAAATACAAGTCTTAGGAGGAATGCATTATTCTAAACAAAACAAGTAGAGGGATGCCATCTCTGAGTATCCCCCCCCCCCCAATTCGAGCACTGCCTATTGGCTATAATGTATTATTATTTTATGAAAAATGCTCTAAAAACTAAGAAAATGCACTAAAATCGTCAAAAAATGCAAAAAAAGAATAACTGTAAAATAATCAGTATCATCCGAAACATTAACTGTAATATTGTATAATTAAATATGTATTTTATAAAAACTTTTCCCATGACCTTTTTAAAAATAGTTAAAATAATAATAATAATAAAAAAATTAATAATAGTATATGTATTACATTATTTAAAAACCATTGCCAACTTAATTTTAAAACGACTAAAATGGCTTTGGTCAAAATGGGTGCCGCCCATTGAATCCCCTACACGCAAATGTTGAACAAAATCGACTTTATTTGGGTGCATTTTATGTTTTTTTAGAATTTTTTGGACATAACCATATGAAACTCCAAGTTTAAGGTACTTTTTAAAGTAAATCAAACATTTATCAGGCACTTATTTTATTATTTACAGTGGTTATAAATGGATACTCACGAATTATGCCTAAATTTAAATTTTGATTTACTCTAACTTGGTCAATTTTGTAATTAGAAAGAAACTTATAAGACAAAAAATGTTTAAAAAAAAATAATCTATCCGAATATATATAAAAAAAATAGTGTTTCCATTAAAAAAAAATTAAGTTGTATTGAACATGCGCAAATCAAAAATGTTAAAAATCATGAATAAATGTGTATTTAAGTACCTCCTAGGCTCTCTAAAATATTGACTTCAATACAAGAATATCCAGCTGAGATATTTAATGTTACTTTGAATCGTGATCACACTATATATCAGGGTCTATTTTAAGAATTTTTGTCAACAACGCATTAAATTCCTTCTACTCCTCTATCAAAAGTCACATTTATAAATAAATAAATACTTTGAAAGATCCACAACATTAAGGATTGGTAACTGTACCATAATTTAATTTTGCGAATTAATCATTGAAAAACTCTAAAAGTAGCAAAAATTTTCCAAAAACATCATAATGAATAGTTAATTAAATAATTGTATAATCATATATTAATATTTATTTAAAAAAAAAATTAAAAGATTTTCATTATTAAGTAATAAAAAAAAGTACCTGATTTTGAGATATTGAAAATTATTTAATCATCTTGAAGTATCAAATTTATATAAGATGTGAACATATTCAATGTTTTAAATGTTAAAAAGACCAAATATACTTTCACATTAACCTGTAGTTATTACACTACGTATTTTCTACTCACTGCTGTCTCTTACATATATTTGATATTGACTGTAAGACATGTGGTAAAGGAGACTAAATGGAGATGTAGTGCCTAAACAACTAATACACATATTGACATACTATGCGTATAAGCTAATTATGATGCAACAATCGTTACAAAAGCATTGTTAACAATTTTATTGTCATTACTATTTTTAACTAAATTCAATTTTATGATTTTCTTTTGTAATAAAAAATATAATCGAAATCATACACAATAATATTGCATATATTTCACTATTTTGGGGATTACTTGTGTAGTTAACCACTGGTTAATGATAATGTCATATTGAGAATTTCTAACATTATTGATTTGCCAGCCCTGATATAATTTATCTTAATTAATAACAATTAATTCATAGGGATTTATAAGGGATTAATTACATTTGGCACCACTGCAGTTCCCAGCTGTTATCTAAAAGTTATTTGTCTCCTAGTATTCTGTCGTCCTCTTTAATTTGACTTTCATCGCTGCATTCAGCATATTCAACACTGAAACAGTATTCCAATTAGTAGTTGAAAAATGTTAGGATCCAAGGGAATTCGGCTAATAAGAAGCTTTTCTACAACTGCAGCAAGAAATAGTCATGCATACGGTGGACCTGGATCTAATTTGCCATTCGACATATACAGCAAGTATAAATTTACGGCTTTAGTAGCAATTTATTTCAGTTCAGGATTTGGACTTCCATTTTTGATGGTTAGATTCATTAGACATAGGTCACTACAATAACAATAAATGTAACTTATAATTTAGAATATATCTATATGTAAAAATAAATAAATATTAATACTAGTCAGTAGTTCTAAGCAATTAATTTGTAGAACATGTTTATATTTTATAGCCTATCATTACATATGTAAATTTATATACATTTTAATTGATTTATATAAAATATATATACCAAATTTGAAAAAAAAAGGAGTACAATTATGATTTACCCACTTAATTTATATCACCAAGAAAAGTTGGGTTATTCATTTTATTTCATATAATATACAACACTAATTTTTTTCTATTGAATTACTTAGTTGTATATTATTTTTAGTTATAACATTAAAACACTTTTAATAGCAAACTTTTCGAAGTAATTTTATTTTAATACATATTTTGAGTTATTAGTAATATCACTCAAAAAAAATGTTTTAATTATGTTTTGCAGTGTATTAAAAGATACATGTTTAAAGACCTTTTTTAATGGAAAATATTATGATGGTACAAAAGAGTTAAGTAACCAACAATATTTAATTATAGAACGGATTATATGTGATCCAATGAGCACGAGTTTGATTTTTGTCATCCTCATGACTTGTAAATAATGACTTATAAACATTGGTAGCAGTTTGGTCTTTGGCAATACTGTGTGTAAGTTTTGCTTTTTTATACACAGGGTCTTCTAGTTTGCGGCAGTTAACAGAGACTGAGGAATTTGACCCTGCAGCACTACTGATTAATCCTAAATAAAAAAATAAATATAAAAGTAACTTATATAAATAATTGAAATAACTTAAGATGTTTTTCAAAATGTACATACTCTTTGTCTGGTCTTTCTTCACTTTTAATTCTGATTTTATATTAGTATCTTCTCTTTTTATTTCCATTTTAACACTACTATGTTCAGTTTTAACAGTATTTGTTGATGGAATGATAGGGAATTCTTCATTAACTTGATTAACTGGTTCTTCTTTAACTATAACTTCTTGTTTGACTTTAAGTTTCTTACTCTTAATTTTATCTTTGCGTTTAGCCAATCTAATTCTCATTAAATTTATATCTTCATCCGTTGGATTTAATATAACTACATCATCGTCTTCATATTCCATTACACAATTTATACATTTATTATCTACTCCTAGTTTGAGACCTCTCTCGGAAACAACACATCCACATTTCCATAAGACACAAAACTTTGATCGGTCGTTCATTTCTAAACCAACTAGAGGGCAAATATAAGGTGAACTTATATCATCAATATATCCTCCAACACTCTTAGCTTTTCCACTGAATGCTGGATTGGGAGTTAACTTCAAAACTTTTATATCCTATAAACAAAATAAATTATTAAATATTTTTAATCGATATGTGTTCATAGAAAAAAAAAATTGGTTATTTTGGGGAAATTTAAAAATATAAATATATAATGATATTACAACTAAAAATATTGTACCTGAGATTGTAAGTGAATCTAAATTTAAATATTAAAATGTATTTTCATATTATAATTCTCAATTAACTTTTGAAGTCCATGATTCATAATTTATCGAGATCTTTTACGAAAGGAAATATTTATTTTATTTTTATCAAACATGACTGTGAAAAAAGTGAGATAAAATTATTTTTCAATATGGGTGTTGATTAAAACTAAACCTATGAATTATAACCAATGAGATGCCACAAAAATGTATTGAAAATACACATAGAACTAAAGAAAACGCAGCTAAAAGTAGTTTTTATTTTTTTATGTATATGGTTAATGGTATTAAGTATGAATTGAGTTGAATTTATCATAAAATTAAAATTAGTTTTATATAATTCTTTTTAAGTCCATACAAAATTAATTAATGACAAGGGTAGGAAATAAAATAAAAATATATATTGTTTCAGTACTGTATGTTGTAATTATTGGTCAAAATTGAGAATTGCTCTTTAGAGTTAACATTTGTTTTTTCTATGAAAAGTAGGAACACCACTGCTTCTAAAATTAATTATTATTTTATATAAATAATATTAACACATTTAATGCCAATGATAGATAAGCTGGTGTCAAAGGGTATCCAATGAATTTTACATGTATTTTTAGTGTTCTAAAATACTCAGCTGAGAGTGTATAATCATAATATTTTTATTGAAAATTCATCATATTCAACAACGTTTATGACACGTAGCGTGATATGCCAAAATGTCATCATTGAACATATTAAAATGAATGTCTCTCAAAACTTATAACATTTATTTAATAAGACCGTTTGAGATAAAAATTTTATTTATAATGCAGTACTAAGTTGAATACAAATTAAATAGAAAATTATAAAATGTTATAATGGCAATTATAAAAATGTATTTATTTATAATTAACTTAATTTAAATTATAAAATAAGCAAAATACTATGAAATTGCAAATAAATCTATAGTAATAATACTTAATATATTAATATTTATTATGTAGTAATTGATATATTAACATACTTTTAAACTCTTAATATGTGCTGAAGCTTCAGGGAATGGAGTTTTATTCACTAAATGCTGTAAAACTGATTCTTTATTGTACAAAAGACCCATGCCACAAGCTACTATTGGTGGTCGAAGAGATTCCTGAGTCAATTGACAATTACGCCAACGATATAATTGCACTGATGATTTATCCTTCTGAAAATTTAATGATAGAATTATTTAACTTATAAAAGCTCTTAATTTTAAACATAAATAGTAATATTGCTTAATTAGAATAATTCGCTGATTTCATAAAATTGGAAGAGTAGGTAAAGATAAAGGAGATCAATAAAAATAATTTACATAAATGAAATATACATTTAGAACAATACATATTTTTTCAAACTAAATTTCTTAATTGTGTATGAGCAGTAGAGCATTAAACTTAGGAAGACTAAGAATGAAAAAGTTAACAGTACTTTAATGTATGAAAAATGGGCAGGAACATTATTTCATTATTAATTCCAGGAATAAGATTTAATTATTAAAATATATAAATGTTTTATATTTGGTATAACTATTTTAAATATATTAAGATATTTTTAAAATAGTCAACCAATTAAACTAAATACCTAATAAAATAATACAAACAAAATATTTAACCAAAATACTATAAGATATCTTGACCTATATATAGTTAAAAGAATAAACTTCAGCATATCACATAAGAAACAAAAGATCTTCCCTTAACTTAACAGTCCATAAATTTAGACAACTCTTTCTTTCTAATCTCTCTCTTAATAACAAAATCCTAATACATAAATAAATCCTCTGATCCATCATGACTTTATGGTATTCAATTCTTGGGACAAAAAAAAAAAAAAAAAAAAATCAAACTTATATAAATTCCAAGCTTTTCAATCCAAAACTCTGATTCTTAAAAAATTCTTTATGGTAGGTTAGTAATCTTATACTTCACAACAATTTAAAAATTCCAACAGTCATGTCTTTAGCTTCCAGCCACTGTAAAAAATTTCACAAAAATACCACAAGCCATCTAAATATTCTTATCTCTAATATTTCCTCTCTCATACTCTCAAAGGACCCACCATGATATCTTAAAAGAAACTGGGCACGAGATATATAATATATAATTCACATAAAAATGTTTTCTACTCGCAGAAGTTCAAGAGGATATCAACTACTTTTATAAATCTATAAAAGTAGTCTACACATTGTTTTATAAATTAATATTAATAATCATCTTTAATCTGCATACAATATACTGTTTAAGTGTCCTTACTTTAGAAACATACAAACTTTCAGAAAAATGAGCACAATTAAATGTGAATATGGATAATTGAGACACAGTTAATCTAGGTTTTAATGTAATATTTAAAATAAAGGACAAAAGTAAATTAGGTCAACACCATGCATACATAGAGATGGAACGCAATTTATGAAAAAAAATTTGGAAAATCTTGAATAGAAATTGTTACAGAAACGCATAAGACTAGTTCTTGATTATTAGTTTAATAAAGCCGTTGAGCGTCGTGTAAATGCTAATTTAGTGAAACGTAGACAAACGCTCGGACAATATTTAGATTCATACGGCGTGACGTACCTGTTCGGGTTTCTTTTTGGTCCGTACCAGCTCGTCCCTCTTGGGTATGGTTCCGCCGTCGCAACCCATCGCTGAACGATAGTAACTGTCTGTGAGAAGATAAAAACCACTTGTGAGGAATAGCGGAAACCGCAGTCGATCGGTGACGGTACGGGGCGCACGCGCGACCCCTAACTTCAACTGGTGACAGTAGCGAACCCAGGAACGAAGAGAAAAAATACGACGACGACGATAAAAACGAAATGACAAAAAGACGACGACAATGACAACAACTGCAATGATAATGTTTTTGTGGTAAACCATTAACCACTCCGTTTGCCACTGCCACAGCAATGAGTCATCTCGTTAAATGACAGCTGGTTTTAGAGAGGTAGGAGGGGCATTGGTAAACATTGTCAACTCTGATCCTGGGATAACAACAGAAGGTCGGACGATCATTTCTTATCAACCGTCCGCTTCATCCGATTTAGTTCGAGATGTTTCCGCGGGAGCGCTATAGTTTTCACTTGTTTAAAGCTGGGTTCACACTACACCGTGCCGTGTCGTGTCTTATAAAATATCTCTGATTGGTTGAACCATATTGTTACATCAAGGTATACCGTATAATAAATCACAAGTTACCTCACTAACCATAAGATACCGTGAAGTTGATTTTATCCAACTTTTGAACGACAGGTTACCACAGATACCTATATAAAATAAATTTGTTGTATTATATATCTGTGGTGGTTACCGATTTTAATAGTAATAATTTAATATTCTATGATAACATTACTCATAATAACAAAAGGCTCGGAAGGTGTTGCATTTGTATGGTTTTATTGGCCTATTAAATGTATTGCTTAGCATCCTTGACATTATTTCCATGACACTATGAAAAACCTAATGGGAACATTATGAAAGAAAATTTAAAATTTTAAGCTATTTATTTTACTTATATTTTATTTTATCTTATATATTTATACCTAAAAATTATGTTTAGTTAAGTATAATATACTAACAACATTTGTACTGTTATGTACGAATATATTTAATAAGGCTGCATCCGAGTTGCAGTCAGAGATGATTTTTGAGATAAGGTCATAGAACAGTTGCGGTCACGCGAATTGTATGTAATATCCTAGTTGCGGTCATATACCTATTACTTATCTGTAAAGTTTATATATAAAATAAATAAAATTGTATAGTCCAATAGTATAGTGGCGTACATATAACTTTTATACGGGGGGGGGGGGGATAATACAAATTATTATGGAAGGAAAATTCCTAAACCTAAGTACTTGCACATTTAAATGATAAATAATAATATATATACATATATATATATATAGTGAATGTGTCAAAATAATAATTTACAATAAATCCTTGCAATATTATTTTGTTTCCTTATACTTTCCTTACATTAAGAACACTATTTTATACAATTTTTAAAAGACCTATGGGGGGGATTTGACCCCCACATCACCCTTGTATATGCCCCTGCAATAATAGTATAATTACGAACCAGATGATCACCAATCAATGATAAGGTAAAAGGTTAGTTACAGTGTTAAACGTAAGGCAGTGGAGCAGTTGAGCGAGCGTCCCTCCAATATTTTTCATTCTGAGATGTCAAGTACAGTACTTTCAGTGTACTGGGGTCAAATGATGTTACATTGATCAGAAAAAATATACACTGCAAGAATGAATGCTCACCCGAAGTTGCCGCATGACTTTTCACAATTACATTTAACGCTTCCTAACGTAATTAATAAAATGCGAACCAAAAATAATGAAAATTGGATTTTTATAAACGATGTTCAGAACAATATAATATGTCTTACGAATCAGATAAACCTTAATTTTTTAAAACAATGTGATTCAATTTTTATGGACGGTACTTTTTCAAGTTACCATTTTCCTTTTAAACAATTTTTTGCGATACATGGATATAAAAACAAAAGCAGCTCATACGTACTTTTATTTTTTTTCGTTATTGCCTAGTAAATTGCCTTGTAATGCGTACAAGACTGTATTAGACCACCTCAAAGGTTGTGTGTCTGACTATATCCCAAATAGAGTCTTCAGTGATTTCAAACCTACACAATAAAAATAGTGTAGACAGTTCTAAGTCTGTTTATAAAACGGAAAGGAAAATGTTGAAACTTTTTTGTAAATTAAATAGCATGGTATTTACCATACATACTAGATATATATTTTGAGTGACCGCAACTAGTACGTAATTTTTGATTTTGACCGCAACTAGTATACACCGTTTAATAAAATTTTTATTTATGAACATTTTTGCGCTAAAAAAAATTAAGTGCATATTATTTAAGCGCATAAGTGCATGTATATCTAATACTTTTTAAGATAATTAAGTTCTGATCCCTAATAATAATATAATACATACTGTCTACTAAATAATTTAATATTCATCAGTTATTATTTATTGAAACTTATGAAAATATTTCATATCCAATAAAAAAACTGCGAAAATATGTAATCAAAATTTGACAGCATCATCATAAGACATATATTGGTATCACACATTTTCAAAACACACGGTCTGGTAAAATACATGTCACGGTGTGGTGTGAACCCGACTTTACATGTAAATAGGCTTTATTTAAAAATTTGGCTTCGAGCGATTGTCTTTATAACTAATTTTACTAATTCGATAAATCCTTACTAGATATTCAATATTTCGTTTAAAACATTTCCATTATTTTGATCGAGTGACCTCCTGATTACGACAGTATCTCGTATCTCGATTATTGTTTCGATACATCTCTTGATTATAATAATGTTTACCTTAGTAATATATCGATATGTCTATTACAATCGATGGTGGCGGTGATCGGATTCGTGACGTGATAAGCGGCGCCCGGTGCGGCGGTACAGTGTTGCCAAAACCGGTTGGTCTCGACCGCATGTAACCTTAGAGGGTCCACGGTGTGCGAGCCGCACAACTCGGCAACGCGGGTCGAAAATTCCATCCGTGTGCGTGCGTACGTGAGCGTGTTTGTGTGTGTGTGTGCGTGTGTTGACGCCCGAAATTTTTGTTATTCCGTCGTACACACACGTACCAACGTTGGTGTATACGCGAAGGCGAAATTGTCTTCCGTGCTTTAAACGTTGGCCGTGTGTAGTAAACAATTTAATTTATTTTATTTTCGTATTTATTTCCACGACGTCGTTCGAACTAGCGGGCAACTCCGTACGCACGGGAACCGTCGCATCGCACTACCGCCTAACCCGCGTTTCGATTCATCCGCTGCCGACGCTGTTCTTGTTTTTTCATCCTACGTTCTTGAACACGTTCCGCCATTTTAACGACGTTCCTGTCGCACCGGGTTGGTGGCTGTCGCTGTACAGTAGCTCAATCGTGTTCCATTGTGTGTGCTACGAACTACGGCAACGGAGGAGACGGTGACAGAGCTTTCGAGCACAGGTACGTGCGTGTGCTCCCGAACGCCGTCGCTCAACTAGTTGCAATAACCGTTTGACCGTGGTCCATTTCTGTTTCAGACGACTTGGAGATTGTGTGACCGCAACAGAATAACATGCAGACCATTAAGTGTGTGGTCGTTGGCGACGGTGCCGTCGGTAAGACTTGTCTGCTCATATCATATACGACCAACAAGTTTCCTTCAGAATACGTACCAACTGTAAGTGTGCATTGTTAATGAGTCCTTTTTTTCAGGAAACATTTATTTTATTTCTAATTTTTAGATTTGGTCTGATAGTAGATCATTTAAAATTTTTAATTCCATAACAAGTGGTTTTCAAATTAAAAAAAAAAATATACAAAAGTGATGTTTCATCCTAATAAAATTGTTCGATTTACTTATGTTAGGATATCATTGTTTTTAAACTATTCCTGCATATACTTTATATTTTAAACATAATGTTTTTACAATAAAAACTATTCGGAGTATGAATACATAAACATTAATTCATTTAAATTAAGTTAAGTGTTTATACTGGTTACTATCTATAATAGTTCAACAAATTTAATAGCATTCCCTACTAGTACAGATAAATGAATACATTAATTTAAAACTTGTACAAAGAAAACATAGAGCATTTTTTTGTTTCATTTAATATTTACTATACTCTACTGGTTAATATTGTTATATAATCGTAATGATGATTATCTTAGTATTTAATCAAAAAATTTATTTAAAGATTTTGTTTTATAATTTTATATTTACAGTTATTGATTATTAATTTTTCTAAGTAATTAATGATTACTTATGGAAGTTGAGGTAGAAATATGCCAAAGTGTATAATGTATCTTAAAAGGCACATTTAATTTTTTTTAATATACAGGTATATATATTTTTTTAGGTTTTTGATAATTATGCCGTAACAGTAATGATTGGAGGAGAACCATATACATTAGGATTATTTGACACAGCAGGTATGATAATATTTTGGTTAGATAATTCTTGGAATATTAGACTTGATACTTTATGTTTGATTTATTTTATCAATTTAGGTCAGGAAGATTATGATCGTCTCAGACCTTTAAGTTATCCTCAGACTGATGTGTTTCTTGTTTGTTTCTCTGTGGTATCACCATCTTCATTTGAAAATGTTAAAGAAAAGGTAAGAAATATAAGACTGTGGCATTTATTTTAACAATTAATATGTATTGTTTATAATTAGTGGGTTCCAGAAATTACACATCACTGTCAGAAAACACCATTCCTGTTAGTTGGCACACAAATAGATCTTAGAGAAGATGCCACGACTGTAGAGAAACTAGCTAAAAACAAACAGAAGTCAATATCTTTTGAACAAGGTGAAAAGCTTGCTAAAGAACTTAAAGCTGTGAAATATGTCGAATGCTCAGCATTAACACAAGTTAGTATTATATATTGAATTAAATTTTAATATTTTGAAGTTTGAGTTAAAAATTATATGGGACCATATCAAAATGTTAGTAGTTTTGTCCACTCATTGAATGGATCAGAAGTATCTTGAAATAATGTTTTTTCTGTTTTATCTAGTTTCTTATTTTATATATGTATTAATATTAAAATTAAAATTATAGCAGGCATAGATTCTATTATTATACCAACAGTAATATATTGACAACGTTAAAATAGTTTGATTTTAGTTAAGTATAATTTATTACTTTCTATTATTGTGGTAAAGTGGTTTTCAAACTTTTTTGTTGGCAGAGCCCTTATGTTCTCAAAAAAGTACACAATAATAATAAATATTTCTTATTGAGAAAAATATACTGTCTAAAATGTAATATTCTTCTTCAAAAGTTTAAATTTTGTTATTCGTTATGAAAACTGGGGTAAATTTAAGTTGAATTGATTTACTACATTTCATTTTGTAAAAATTCCAGCCAAGTAATGAAATCAAAATAACCAAATTTTATCAGAAGAGTTATTAATGAAATGGGTGTCACTATAACGTAAAACTTATTGGCACAATTCAAGTAATCATACTATGTTTATACAAACAGTGTTTTTCCTCGATAACAAAGAAATATAACAATATTTAAATTTAATTAATTTAGATATGCCCACGGAGCCCCTAGTCTTCTCTTGGGGAACCCTAAGGCTCATTGGAACACATTTTGAGAACCGTTGTTGTAGTATATTGCATATTTTCAATTTAATAATTAATAAAAATTTATAATCTGTTTATGGTATGGATAATATAAATTTCTTTAAACATTTTTACTAATCCAGATTTTAGGTTAATATTAAAACAATATAGAAAAGTGTAATTATGATAATTTAATCTTTTCTTTGATTTTGTGATTGGCTACTATTATTATATAAAATGGTTATAACAGCTTTATTTAGGATATTTTTTAAACAGATTTAATTGTAAGCAATATCCGAAAGACCTACTTCAATATTAAATTTAATTAGGGTTAATTAGTAATTAGTTTTTTGTTTTAAATCCAGAATATATATTGCAATTAAAGATACATTTAGATTTAAATGTTTTTTTTTTTTATAATTGATGTAAGAATAAATTGTAAATTAAGTTATTTCTTACATGAGCTAATTAAAAACTATTTATGATAAATTATATGATTTATTTTATGTTCAATGCTAAAGTTATTCAAGTTTTTTATTTTTCAATTAAATACTTCATTGTACATATAATTTTTTATAAAAAACATGGTTGATAAAATTGTATAACATCAAATGATATTTATACTAAATATCTATTAAAAATGTATTTATTTTATAGAAAATAAAATAAATATTTGTTATAATTAAATGTTAACATTATTTATATGAATTTTATATCAGTTTTACAAAATATGTCAAAACAAATGCATTATTGTTACAGCATTTATATGTAAATCACACTTTATAATAATTGATCAATTATATGAAATATAATGGTATTTATAAAAATTATTAGTTTTAAAAATTATCCGAAGTTAAAAAAAATATTTCAGTATATTTGTTAAACCGATAAACTGTAATGTAGATTAGATTACTTAATAAATAACTTTTATAAATCGTTTAATGTCTTTTAAGTCGGATAAGATAAATTTTATTAATTATGAATTCAAAAAAATTACCAGTAAATAATTTTTATATTTTAATATTGAAAAATGTTTCAAATTTAAATATAAATATTCAATTGAGTTATAGAGATTTTAATTATATATTAATTATTAAAATTAAGGTATATTATGTAATATGATAAATTATTTATATTTATTTACTTTTACTATTACAGAAAGGATTAAAAAATGTATTCGATGAAGCTATTCTTGCAGCTTTAGAACCTCCAGAACCAATTAAGAAGAGGAAGTGTGCTATATTATAAAGTTGCGGACAAATAAACAGGTGCGACAATTATGTCATAAAAATATTTAAAATTAAAAAATTAAATCATGATTTAGCATGGATACAATAATGAAATAATAATTATTTTGTTTTTACTAATCTATAAATATATATATATATATAAAAATAATTTATTTTATATTTTACATGAAGTATGTGCATTCAGTGTACATTAATATTGAATAATAAATAAATAGGTTTTTTATACACCATAAATTATTGTGGTTGTTTTTGTTTATTATCATTATGATCCAGTTTATTTTTGATAATTTAATTTTTTTTTTTTGTTCTTTTGTCAATCCTTGTATCATTTTATTATGTTGAATAATATTTTATTTCTTAAACGTATATTTACCTGTAACATTAGTTACTTTATTTGATGATTAATGATATTATTAAGATACCTATTAATTATTAACATTGAATTTAAATCCAGCCATATTATGAAAATAATATATTACCACATTATGTGAAGGTAGGCTATTAAACCAAAAATTGTATCCACTCAAGAATGTAGATAAATTGATGTCTGCTAAAAATAACTTAAGAAGTAGACTTTACAGATATTTTTTTAAACTAACTTTTTTTTTACGCTTAATTGTATTTATATTTTTTATAATTACTGATTTGTAGACCAATTAATTTTAAAACAATGTTAAGTGAACAACAACTCAAATGCCTCTGGGCCTGTTATGTCTTTGGACTTTCAAAAGTACAAAATCATTGTATAGTTAAATTGTACTTTCAATTGCTTATAAATATTGAATTCTTATCTCCGCTTTGAAATAATGAACATGACGAGCAGATAATTATTTATACAATCAAAATTTTATTATGTTTAGATAAAAAGACTTAACTATATTATATTGTGAACGCTCTTTATTGATTGTTGTTAAAGGCCTCAAATGGTTGTACAATTTACTTAATAAAGTAGAAAAGTCTAGAAATACTTTATATACTATGTTCTAGAAGTTATGAATCATCTTGATGTCACATTGGTTAAATAAAAATATTTATTTTTAACTGTCTTTTTTTGTTTGTACTACACAATTATTGGTTAATGATTAATTCTGATACAGAATAATGAATACATTATATACCTTTTAAAAATATAATATCCATTATTTTATTACAAACTTTAAATTAATGGTGTTATTGCCATTAGTTTATAATTATTTAACTATTAGTTCATAATAGATCGTGTTTTTTGCGTAACTTTCAACTGAAAATGGCATTTTTGGTACATAAATAAACGTAGTACCGTTAAACGTATGACACTCGTCATTGTGAAGATGATAATCAGATAATTTTTATTTTTATGCATTAGTGTTCATTGTCAGTCGTTGCGGGTGTTTGTGTTCAAATGTGTAAAAGTGTCGTTTTAATTATTTTATCTTAGTCTGGCGTCGTAGCTCTGCGCTACCCGAACTTTTTAATGTCAAATTTTATTCACATTCGTCTGTTACATACGTGTTAAGGACCTAATAAATATTACAGTAAAGAAAAAAAAAACAACTATGAAAAGAAGTAAACAATATTGCAGTCGACAGTGATCTGCTGCGATGAATACTAGAACACGTATAGTAGTATTAACAGCATTGATGTCTCCTTCCGGTCCGTGTCCTCAACAATCATCAAGTATGTGACGCACACATACCTCCAGGCGGCGGAGACGTGTGGAATTTAAACTTGTTTAATAAATCGTTATTGTGTTGAACCTTTCGTTCGCGGCATTGTTGGCGCAACGTGAATATGCCGTGCTGCTGCTGCCCCACTCGGATTTTTTTTTCGTTTGCCCGTGCCCACCAACACGACATCGTGATGGCAAAACGAATCAGTTTTTTTTCGAAGCAGTTTGGTATCGCGTCCGCACCATCGTCGGACACATTTTTAGTGCTGCCCGATGGTTATTTCTTCGCGGAATGCGATTTTTAGCTTATTCATATCGTAGGTTTCTCATCGTCTGCGTGTTCTCTGTTCTATTGTTATTTTGTATGTGAATAATGGTTTTACCGTTAACGGTTGTAGTTGTCGATATCTGTGCAAAGCACGTCAAATACGTCGTTTCAAACTTAATCGTAACGCGTCGTAAATACTGTTTTGAAATGCATTGTATCGTAGTAGTTGTAGTAATCATAATAATTGTTTTGTGTAGGGTTGGGGGGGGGCATGTAATATGTAGAACGGGCGTGTCGAATCGGTTGCACCGATGTGTGTTGCTGCCGTACTGTACTGCATGTTAATCATAATACAATTGAACGACCACGTATATTATTATTAACGACAATTATTTTTGATTATTTCAATTTTAATTTTATTCACGGATGGCAACTAACTATTATCGCCGCACCAGAAAATGGTTTCGTTCATGCTCGTAATATAATTGAACGGTCGACAGAATAAAAACAAATAATAAAAATAAGAAATTAATAAATGCATAGATAGTGAAAATTACTTTTATCACTCTATAGCTTCAATAACAGTGCTGTAAAAACCGGGTGTGCCTCGGGCCTCAAACTATTTATTATGATTCCGGCATAGATGCGGTCGGCACAGTTGCATCAATCTTTTTGATGGCACTTGGGGTCACTATTTTTTTTTACACATCTGCACTGGTTTTACAATACTGACATAATAATAATAAAATTAAACCTATACTATATTAACTTTCCTTCGCACTTTTACAGGTTTAGGACTGACAATCAATATTATTTAATATTTACTGGTATGCTTTAAAGTTTTTTTTTTTTTTAAATATTGTGAAATATTATGATATAATTGTATTGTCTAATGCCATGTAACCTTTTTCTGTCTTTTTTCTCCCAAGTTTAAAAAATGTCGATCAAACAATAAGTCTCCATGCTGAGCTTCTAATTTAAGAAATTTGTATAGAGTTAGAAAAGTTGGTCGAGGTCTATTAATTTGTTTATTCAATCTGCTGTTCCAACCTTCAACAATATTTTTCCTGTGTCTTTTGGAAGCAATTCCATATATCTTTGGATATTATTGCATTTTCGAGCCACTGTTCTACAAAATAGTCTTGAAATGTCTAAGTTTTTCGTTATCAAGACTGCTTTCCATAATTATTAGCCAACCTTCAATATCTTGAAGTGGAATAAGAGCTAAAGCCGAACACATTCTAATATTTAGATGAATCTCTTCATTATCTTTATACTTATCTACCAGTCCTATATTTTGAACTTTACACCATTGAAATTAATTGAAACGATAATTATTGCCAATTATTTGAGTATAAGGAAAACATCTTCAATTGCTTGAATAGTTGCTGCTTCAAAATTAATTTTAACTATATCGGGGTTGAAATTTGAAAAACGCTCTTTTAAAAGTTTAAATAATCGAGAATAAATTTTTTTTGTTTTGTTTGGAAATAATCAGGGCAGATGAGAGGCTGGGGCAGGGAGGGCTAGAGCCCTAGGGTCCGTACTTCCGAGAGGGCCCGTATTTTTGGCCTTGTGTACTATGTTTTTGTAATTATGTATGTACAAGTGGTCTTGGTCAAACAAATGCAAAGGGATAGAGGCCCGGAACCCTCGCAGCCTCGGAGACCTCCTTTCAAAAGTTCTCGTTGGCCCTGGAAGTAATACAAAATTTACTGGAATCACATTAGTTGCATTCGATGTGCTTCCAATATTTACATGTATTGTATATATTTGTAGGAATTGTTTGCTTCAACTTTTAAAAGCCGTCAAAAAAGAAATGTCTATAGATATGTACGTACAGCTTATTTTCTCTCGGAAAATCAATAATTCTTTTTTCAACGTTATTGTCAAATAATAAAAATTGGTAATTGTTACCAAATTGTGAAATATTATCAGGTACAATTATTTCTTCTTTTGAATTTTGATTTAATGTATTACCAAGTGTTTTTTTTTTAATCCTATTTAAAGTTGTCTTAGCAGAAGCGTATGTAGGAATAGCAGTAACATCAGCCTTTTTGAAATTAAGGCGATATTTCTTGATGAAAAATTTGAGATGCCTAAAAAGGTCAAATGCTCAAAAACGTTTGAATGATAAGGGGTCTCATGGTTTTGATTTGCACACGGGCCTCGAGTGTTCGAGTTATGGCACTGTTCAATAATTAGGTGTATAAGATAAGTATATTATATACGATGAAAAAAATTGAAATATACGATGATTGCTGTACACTCTTATTATACCTACTTTTATCATGCATTGTACATTATATTTGTACTGATTTGCCCAACGTAAATAGTTAAAATGAAAATGAACGTGTTATCTTTTTTCAGCTAAAATAATAATTATTATATAACACTTTAGTAAATACATTTTTATGCATTAACTCTTTTGTTGTTAAATTTAGTCGTCAAAACCGAATACTTTGCACTTGTGAAACGTTTGTGAATTTCACAACTAATTATGTATTTACCTACTATAAAATCGAAATTAATGATTTACTACGATGAATCCGTTAAGTGGAAAATATTTTTATATTTTATATTGCAGAGTTATCGGTAAATGTCCCAAATCAATGTCAACTGTATATATAAAATTACTTATCCTGAATGATTCATCATCGCCTAGCTGGAACCACTGAAGCTATGAGTATAACATTTGGATAGTAGTTTTGTTTTGTGATGTAGACACCCATTAAGAAAGATTTTTCAAAATTCATAAATTAAAAGGGTAAAAAAAGTTAAAAGAAGGGATACAAATAAAAAAATCATCTAGCTGGAACCACTGAAGTTAAGAGTTGGAAATTTAATTAGGAAATTAATTTTATGTGAAAAACCCCTAAGAAATTATATTTCAAAATTCAACCTATACAGGGGATAAAAATGAAATCTATATTTAATTAATTGAAAATTGAAACTGACATTTTGATTAGATGTGCTAAGAGAAAAAAAATATTTTTACTGAAACTACCTTTATACTACAACGATTTTCCAGTTTAGCTTAGACAAGTTCCTGTACAATTTTGTTTTACAATGATAATAAACAAAGCACAAGGATAGACTTAATTTATTACTATCTTATTGTGGTGTAGATATGGAAAATTACTGTTTTTTAAATGGACAATTGTAGGTAGCATTTTTTAGAGTTGGAAGATCTGACCATTTATACGTTTAAACACCACAAAATAAAATTCTGAATGTGGTATACCAAGATGTTTTGATTTAAGTTATTTTATAAATGAGTAACTTAGTATAGAATCATTTGTAAATATTCATAAATAA